ATTTTCAAGGATTTGCTAACAGTTTCCCCAAATATCAAAACCCAAGAAAACAGCCAACTGCATTTGCATGCAAAGGCTCACATTTCCCTGCTTCTAAAAATTCATACTTCCTTCACAGTTCTCCTCCCAAAGCTCAGAGAATCGAAACCCAAACCCGCTGCAGGCATATTGCCCAGTTCCCTCAGTGACACAGAAACTGAATGAAAACTTTTGTTAAAGGGGGAGAGAATGGAGACGCAGAGGATGCTGTATTTATTTATTGGTGCTTGGTTTACCTAGAATATTAAGCACGATTTTGAAGGAGACCAAACTATGTCATCCCAAAATATGCCTCGAAATTGACATCAAAATTATTTTGAGCTAAAAGCACTTAAAAAAAACCCAGCCGGTACAAGAAGGGCACTCTGACTATCCCCTTTTTCTTCCTAAATGCAGAAGATAAAACCCCCCATATGGAAGATGTCTTTCCCAAACCAGAAGGAACGTAATGTTCTTATCATCAAGACAGGAAGTTGAGACTGAGAGAATTCTGTACAAATAGGCCTTCAAATAATTCTTACCTTTCTTTAGGCTCCCCACTTAACTGAGTTACTTTTCCACAGTTACCTCTACTTCAACTTAATAGAAAGGCTTGGAGGTTTTGCAATTACTTTGAGTCTTCTTTGCCTTATGAGAGCTGCTGTGCCACGTAAAACTTACATTAAATACATGTGTATGTTTTCTCCTCTTCATCTGTCTTCTGCCAATTTAATTCTCAGAGTCAGTGAAGACCCTAAGAGGGTGGAGGTGAACTCTTGCCTCTCCTACAATTTTGTTAGGTAGGTGCATGCGAGAGAGAGGGGAACAAGTGAGTATCTCCCACCCCCCGGGTCAGCGGGCTGTGTCAGTGTTTATTTACATGACTACTTTTATTTCATTATGATTAGAGTTTCATACACATGCACACACACAATATATATATATACACATATATATGTATATATATATATATAGTGATTTATTTATTTATATACTTATTTACTTTACTTTTATTTTATTTTGAGAGAATGCATGCACACATGTTTATGAGGGTTAGGGGAAGGGCAGAGGGAGAGAGAGAATCTTAAGCAGGCTCCACGCCCAGTAGGGAGCCCCACGTGGGGCTCAATCTCATGACCCTGAGATCATGACCTGAGCTGAAATCAAGAGTTGGACACTTAACCCACTGAGCCACCCAGATGCCCCACAAAATATATATTTTAAGGAATTAACTTGTGTTTTTGTCTACATTTAGTCTTTTCAAAGTCAAATAATCCTAGAAGGGGAAGGGTCTGGGGAGGGATGTTATGCATGAGTGTTCAGACTTCGACGCAGCTTATCGAGTCAGTTTGTTCCTCAAGCTCTGCACACATGCCATCCTCCCTCCAGTTTCTCCAGAGAAGATATGACTCCCTTCTGTGAGACGGGGTGGGTGGGAACCACTGATCTTGCTCCATATAGAGTCCCCACCATTCCCCACTTTTCTCATTCCCATCCCGCACCCCCTACCCTTCCATGGCATCTCAGGCCTGCAATTCTGAGCTTCTGTAGGATTCCACATCTACCTTGCCAATTCCCTTACCATTCTTCTACCTGCTGTTCTTCATATTTTGGGATTCTGCGCCATCTCTGTTCTCTGCTATGGCAGCCATGAGAATGCACGTCTCTGTTCTCCTACTTACACGGAGTGAGATCGACCCAGGGCCTGGTGGTCTCTGCTGAGTATTGTTTTTCACCAAGCGTTGCTCTGCTGGGGTCGTGGCCTCCTCTCTCTCCTGGGTACTGCGTCCTCTCTTGTGGTACACTGAGGCCTAGGAGTTTATTTTTGGTGGTCATCTTGAGCCCACACAATTCCACAGTGGTGCCGTAATCAGTGGCAAAGAAGGAAAGTCGACTGTTTCCTCTGCATGTAATGCAGGCAAATGGGTTTTACAACAGAGTTGCTTGGACCCAGTGGGTTTAGGTTCAGAACAGATCTTTCTTCTCCTTATTACTCCTAGTGGTCTCTCTGTTGGACCCAGACATGTGCACAGAGAGCTCAGCTGGGGCCGAGTCCATATGACAGTCACTTTGATATTCTAGAAATGTATCACTTCTTATTTTAGCAATCAGAGAAACCTCCTCTACAGTGTTTCCAGCCTCTAGCTCTTCTTTCTTCCTTCTTTAGCCCCATGTTCATATCACCCCAGACATTCCCATTTTAACTGCCCTGGCTCAAAAATGTTCCACACTTCACTGTCTTCTTTTTCATATGGGATGATCCAAACTCCTTGGACTTCATTTAGGGCCCTTTACCATCTGGCTTCATCCTACTTTTCCAAAGAATTGCCTACTCTTCCTCTGTGCCAACTCTACTCCAATAGGATTGACACTCATAGCTTCTCAATGTGCATTACTCCTTTTGTGGTCCCACCTTGCAGAGTGTTCCTCTTTTCCCAGTCCACATGTTCTCTCTCATCCCTGCTAAGGCTGTCTTTCTCTTCAGAATGTTCCCAGTTTATTCCAATCCGGAGGCCCAGCTATCTGCGGGATTTTATAGTATTTGTGGCAGTAGCCGTCATTTGATGGTTGTACAGAGCCTTGCACTCTTTCATGTAGACTGGTACCTCAAAAAACAAACCCCTGGCTAACACAGATCCATTTCTCTGGGCACAGACACCGCTGGAGGAAAGCTGTGGGATTCCTTGGTGTTGATCAGCAGTGATGAGGAAGGCAGAAAAGGCAGAGGGGCTGTCTTGGATCTTGGAGGAAGGCCAGAACTGGGCCCCAGCAGCTCTGCAGAGCCAGCCCGTCCTAGGACTGGGGCAGCCCTGGTACCGAGCCTGGGGAGCTGCTGGGCGGGCCACACCTCTTGTAGGCCCTTGTCTCTGATAGACTTCTACATCAAGAGAACGTTTTGATCTTCAGACTCATCTGGACCTAGGGCCTTTGGTTTGCTTGAAACTCCCAGCACCAGGGTGCCTGGGTGGCTCAGTCGGTTAAGTGGCCTGACTCCTGGTTTTGGCTCAGGTCATGATCTCAATGTCATGAGATTGAGCCCTGCATCTGGCTCTATGCTCAGCGGGGAGACTGCTTGAGATTCTCTCTCCCTCTCCCCCTGCCCCTCTGGCTCCTGGGCTGATGCTCCTACATGCATTCTCTCTCGCGCGAATAAATAAATAAATCTTAAAAAAAAAAAAAAAAGAAACTTCCAGCACCAGAATTTTTAGCCCAGCTGTCCCTATTCATTCAGGTCCCTATCTAAATAGTTCCATTTCATCCCTAATCATATCTAAATTAACCTCACCCAACATGCTGTATGGCATCATCCTGTTTTTCTTATTTGAAATTATCATCTCTATCTAACTCTTTGCTTATTTATGGTCTGTTTCATGTGTTTACAGTGGCCCTATCAATCTTGTTTATTCCTGAATTCCCAGAGCTCAGAGTAGTGCCAGCATATAGTAGGTGCTGGACACATGTTTATTGAATGAGTGAATAAACTAGGAAAGGACCTTTGGGTAGTGTCTTGCATTTGAGTAAAGAGAGTTGTAACTCTATTGTGGAGAAGGAGGAGGGGAGGTTGGGAGTCAGATGGCTACAACCAGTGCTCTGAACCCTGTCTCTTCTCAGCCAGCACCGGATTTCCAGGGAGAGCCACATTCATGGTTCTCAGGGCCGGGGCAGCCCAGTGATCCTCTAGTTACCCCTAGTTATATGAGTTTAGTACAACCAGATACCCCCCACAATGCCTTAGGGCACCCGTTGGCCTCAGGGGAACTTTGGTCAACTGGCCATAGTGTTGGTGGGGGAGCTCCCCAAACTTCCTTTGGGTGTACAAGCCCTAGGCTAGCAAGCAACCATGCTGGAAGAGTGGTTGGTGAGTACGTTCCATTTTCTTTTTAACAAATTAATTTAAATATTTTTTACTTTTTCATTGTTCCCATTGAAGTGTATCTTATGTACTGTGAAATGCACAAATACTAAGTGAAATCATACATCTGTAGTACACCTGTGTAACCACCACCAGACCAAGACATATTCAGCATCCTAGCAGATTCCTTCATACTTGCTCCCAAGTGATATTCCCCAAGGGTAACCTGACCTAGATCCCCATAGATTTTTTTTGTGTGCCTGTTTTGGAACATCACATAAAAGGAATTATACAGTGTTTCATTTTTGAGAAGTGGTCATCTAGTCTGATGCTGCATGAACAGGAGAGGGGTAAGAACTTTTGCATTCTCCCCCAGCCTGCAGCAGTCTAAGTCAGGCAGGCCGTGCAGGGTTTGAATTGTGACTCATTCCCATAACCTCCAGCAGCTTATTCAACCTTGTTGACCCTATAATTCTTCATTATAAAATAGAATAATTATTCCTACTTTGGAAGGTGCTTTTTAGGATGAATGATATATGCAAAGTGTCTCGTGCAGTGCCTGGCACATAGGGGGTGCTTGATAAATGTGTGTTGGATAAATAAAACTTTATATATATTCTTGGCTATAGTAGGCATTCATTAAATATACACTCGAATACTCTACTGGTCATGTTCCTGCTTGTACTATAGATTTCTCTTCTGTGAACCACCCCGAGGACTTCAGTTTAAGAATAAGGGTGTGTGTGGCCAAGCACTTCTGTAAAGACTTCTTGCACTTTCTGGAATTAAACATGTGACTTTGGCTTCCTTCCTTTGGATTTTACCAGCCAGAGTCAAATATTGGGAATGGGGGTTAAGGACCATTTCTGGGAAAAGGGGCTTTTTCAGTATGAACACTTCACTTTAGTACAAGAAACATTTATGGAACAAGTGCAAAGCTCGATGTTTCTCATTCATGTTTTCTTCGTGCCCTCATTCACTCACAGGATATACTTAAACTTTGATGCATTTCACTTTCAAGGGACTGGCTGAGGACGAGGGCCGGTCCCTTTAAGGCCCTGGAAAGGGTCTCGGTGTTCGTTTGAGCAGGGAGGCCACGCCCCATCACGTGTGCGCAGCCCCCGAGGGGCGGGGCCGGCGTCTCTGGGCTTCCGTCACTTCCGGTTCTCTGTCAGTTGCAACCGAGCGAGCAGAAAGAGGTTCGGCTGCGAGAGTGGAGCGTGAGTGCTGGGGACCCCGCCCCCACCCCTCGAACCCCTGCCTAGCCGGCCCCCACCCTCCCAGCCGGGCCGCGAGCCGCCCGCGGCCTCTACCCCGCTCGCCAGGCGACGGCCGGGAGAAATGGCGGCGTTGCCAAACCTCCCCGCCTCGGCCTCCCTGGATCTCCTCCTCCGTCGCCGACCCGCGCCCCATGCCCTACAGGCCTCTCCGCGCCAGAAGCTGGCTCCCGGGAATGGCCCCGGCGCGGCGAGTGCGGCGGCCCCTGGCGGCGGGGCGCGGCCGGGCGGAGGCGAGGAGCCGTGGGGAGGGGGCCCGGGCGCCCCCGGGACAATGCCGCGGCGGCCCGGGCCACGGCACGGGCGCGTGCGGAGCCTGCTTCTCCTCAAGGCCTGGCTGGGGCTCAAACCCCGGCATCCAGGGTTGGGGGGGCGCTTTCTAGGGGAGGGAGAGAGCGGACCCTGTCGGAGGAGGGTTGGGGGGTTGGGGGAAGGACGGCTGGTGTGCTGGGGGTAGCTAGCGCTTCGAGAGAAGAAAATGGCGCTTGGTGCAAGTCCCTCCTCTTCCCATAAGGTCTCCTCGCACTTCGCCGCCTCCCACGCCCCCTCCGACCAACCTGTCTCCCCCTGCCTCAGCTGTTGTCAGCCCCAGGGTTCCAGAAGCTTCCTGGCATCGCGCGACCCCCTTCCCCGTCTTGGTGCTCATCACCCTCGTGTTGTACCGAATTCCTGTGCCCTTTAGTCCAGGTTTATTTTTCACCTCGTCTTTTCTAATCTTCCCTCCACGCCATCATCACAGACCGAAATTCATTTTTTCAGTTGCGTTTTGATTATATTCTTAACTAGCGTTTTAGTATCACCTTCCCGAATTACTGGCCTGCCTCCTTCGAACAGTAAAGATTCATTAAGTAAAAGTAAAAATCTGTCAAAAGTTAAAAGTGGTTTTGGTTACCATTATCTTTTCTGTTGTTGAACTTCTAATTTGGGTTAATTACGAGGTCGTTCTTTGAAATGATCTTAGGCAGCCCCCCCCCCGCAGCTATTATTAATAGACCGTATAGTTATGCTTGACTGTTTCAAAGTGAAAAATAGGTTATGTCCAATTTAATTACCTTTTAAAAAATGTTTCTTGTCATTATTAGCTGCTAGCATTAAAAAACCTAAATTGCTTTTGGAGTTTAGGTTGTAAAATGGAGCAGTAACAGGAATAGTACATAAAATCTGGTTCTGAACGTTGCTGGTCCCCTCAGAATTTACTCTTCTCCTTAAGAAATTACCCGTTCAAATCAACATGGCTGGTTGTGCATGTTTGAGCTTTTTGAAATTAGTGGCTAGAATTGGGATGGATGGCCCACTTCTTTTACCTTGACCTCCTAATGTGGAACACATTTGGTATTAGTGCCAAGGTAAGTTTAGTCTAGAGAGCTGGATTACTTAGGATTTTTTGAGGAGGAAATTAAGTCTTTTTTCCTTTATTCATTTACAGACTGTGTTGTACATATTGGGCCCTTTAGGGCATACAAAAATTAATAAGACTCAGTCTTTCTGGAGATGGGGAGGGCTAAAGATCCTTTAATAATAAGTGGTTTACCACCTGGTATTGTTAAGTGCCTTGAAAAGAGTGCCTTGGAATTCCTTGAAATTTGGGCTTTAGCTTTTTTTTTTTTTTTAATCTCTGCAAAAGTAGATGCACAAGGTTCTCTGTCTTGCTGTGCTCAGGCACTCAGTAAAGATCCACCTGAAAGCAAGATACTGGGTTATGTACCTCTGTTTGGGGGGAGTGAGGGTCATAGTGGAATTTGAGAAAAGGTTTTGCCCCTCCCATAAGCAGATTCTTCAAAATGTAGTTACATTTCAGAGTAGAAAATCAGTGTAAAATGTAATGAACTGTAAAAAATTATGTTTAACTTTGTGAACTCTGAATTAGTGCTTGTCATTTTGATGGCATGATCAAAAAGCCAAAGAAAATTAAGAACATTTACAAAATATGAAAAAACAGGATTATACTGGCAAATGAATTACATCTGTATAGTGCAGCTGTTCCCCATGTTGTGTGAATGTTGGGGTCAGTTCCTGCAGCGAATAATTCTGTTAGGTCTCATCAGTGAGAAATATAAAGCAGTACTGAGAATATTCCTATTCCTGGTTTTAACAGATTGCTGTCAGCTGCCTTCTTACAATTTATTCTACCTATAAACATCTAACTCCTCTAAAACGAAGTATAAAAAGACCCAATGGCTTTGAGAAAGAGGTGTAGGAGTGTGAGATGTGTGTGACATTTAGTTCTTTATCCTTGCTGGATTCTCCTTGCTGGGTTCTGGGTGTTATTTTCAACTTGGAAGAGTATAAATTAAGAGTGTAACTTCTAGCATTGTGCTCAGCCTAACAACTCCAGTACCACAAAATGGTAGAACCATGCAACTTCTTGAATTTTTGCTTGGGAAAGAGTCAAGTCGAAGATAGTAGAACAGTTTGTAAATTACTGTGTATAATGTATTTTTCTTTCAGAATGCCTAAATCAAAGGAACTTGTTTCTTCAAGCTCTTCTGGCAGTGATTCTGACAGTGAGGTTGACAAAAAGGTGACTATTAATGCAAGTCATTTCTGTGATACTTAATTCAGCAGTATTGCCCACATCCAGTTCTGAAGGACAGCAAGGCATATCAGAATGGTAAAATGAGCGCCTAGGTGGGTGTTTCTCAAAGTGCAGAAGGCTCCTGGACCACTTGACCAAAGGGCCTAGGGTACTTGTACATGCGCACTTGCAGCCCCTGCATCAGACTTGAGCAAGTCTTCTAGGAACCCCAAAGCTACAGAACCACCACCTTATTCCCTCCGGGGAATAGCATTATAATGAGGCCAATTTGCTCTTTGCCATTATTTAGAAATCTGCCTAAACTCTAGGTATTGTGTGTTGTAGTTGAGTTAAATTACCTGAACTCTTTGAATGCAGATGTCAGTTTTGACCGCCTTCTCGGCAGTTGATTTTTATCCAGCCCACTAGGATTACTTAAAATGTAGGCTTGGTACATTTTAAGTTAGAATGTTATTTACTCTGGTCCCCTCCTTTTAGTTAAATCAACACCCAGCAAAACTAACATGAAATTCCCCATTTTGACAACAGCCTTTTTCTACATTAGATGACAACTGTGCTGGGAGTGGTGTATTCCGCTTAACTGAGCCTCTCACACTGTAGTCAGAGCTTCTGTGCAGAACTGTTTTTTTAATTCCTAGGAGCTTACATAATTATGTCTCTGAGTTTAGTTGGCAGTGTTAGTTAAAAGAGCTTATGGGAGAATCTTGGAGAAGATGGACCTGTATAGGGAAATACAGAATATATAACCTAAAGGTTGCAATAAGGCCTCAACATACATAGCTATACTCCAGAAGGAAATACCTCTTAGGTTTTTTATTCACACCCGGTATGGCCTTTGTATTTGAAAACAAATTTTTACTGAACTTTTATGTGTCAGTCCATGGAGAATATCCAGCCCCTATATAAAGAATAATCAATCACTCTCTACTTTTGAGCTGAGGTGATTTTTGCTATTTTTGCTATTAATAGTACATTAATCCTGTCAACACAGTAATACATTCACTTTTTCAGTTTATATACATGTGTACATTCTATTTTACGTAACTTCATCTAATTTAGTAAGACATTAACATACTAGTTTATACTTTCCACTAAGGAGCATGACTGCCCTCTGCTGTTTAGGTTAGGAACTCTACTAGTTTTCATAGGCTGTTAGGTCATTTTAAGAATGAGGCTATATAAAGGTTTTACAATAATGTTGCTTTATTTAAGACATTGTCTTGATTTTGGATGCTAATCTAACACATTGCTGTCCACCTTCAGTGATTTTTGTGATGAAGTTCTTGAGTTGTTGACTTCTAGTGCCCAGTACAAAATAGCTTTCTTAGCTTTGCATACTCAAAAATTTTCAAAGTCAATTTAAGTCCCTTTTGGAATAGGCAGGGAATAAATAACATATCCTGGGTTGGAATAAGTTGGCTGTATTCTTCCTAATTAATATATATCTTTTGTAAAAATATAAGTTGCTGACTAACTTTAGTAGACTTGGGGTTTCCAAAATTTATTCAAAAGCAGCAGTCCCCCCCCATCGCTCCCCCCCCCCCCCAAGAAATCGGATGTGGGATCCTGGTCCAGAAAAGAATTGTTTCTCTGGTTATTACCAGTACGATGCCTGAAGTAGTTTTTGGGTTTCTGAGAACACATTTTGAAAACACTGTTAGATACTAGGTTAGCTCCATAGTTCTATTGTCAAGTGAAACTTGCCTGTGTATATATTTATGATTTTTTTCTTAATAAATATAGTACTTTGAGCCTTTAAGTCTTAAAAAGTAATGAAGTGTTTGAACCTGAGATGTTTCTTATTATGTGTGCAAATTTTAACCATTGTGCGTGTTTTTCTTTCAAGTTAAAGAGGAAAAAGCAAGTTACTCCAGAAAAACCTGTAAAGAAGCAAAAGACTGGTGAAACTTCAAGAGCCCTGTCGTCCTCTAAGCAGAGCAGCAGCAGAGATGATAACATGTTCCAGGTAGTGTCCGAGATCCTGAGGACTTAGTGTCTGGCTTGATCTGACAAATGTGGAAAGTACCTTAATTTAATATAAGGATAGTTGTTGAAATATAGGAGCAGGTTCATTGAAATGAAAGTCATTTATAAGATGCTAGATTATTGTTAAAGTCTAGAAACCTGTAGTTTGTCTAAGTGTTAAACAATTTAAAAGTGATAGATACCCAAAAAAGATAGAGAAAAGCACATTTAGGAAGCAGTTTGGAGGCGATAGGTCTAGTATTGGGCTGTGAAATACGGGTGGGGTATTACTGGAGAAGCAGCAGCAGTACGGCCTGCAAAGTTTGGGCTTGATAAGAGCAGGAGAGGTGAGGGGCGCCAAGGCGGCTCAGTTGGTTAAGTGTGGGACTCTTGGTTTCTGCTCAGGGTTTTGAGATTGAGCCTGTGTTGGGCTCTGCCCTCAGCAGGGCATCTGCTTGAGATTCTCTCCTCTCTCTGGCGCGCCCCCCCCCCCCCCCCCCCCCCCCCCCGCTCGCTTGCTTTCTCTCTAAAATAGATAAATCCTTAAAAAAGAACAGGAGAGGCAGGTGGGTTTACTGAAATCGGCCCTCTCTATATAGTGGGGAATAAGATTGAAGATCGAGATATAGCAAGGGAAGTGTTTCAAGATGGGGGCATAATTATTAGTTGAAGTACATGTATATAAAATGCATAGTTATGTATAAAATTGATACATATTTTTAATTTTCTGATGGCTTTGAGAGACTGTATTTCATCAGGCCTTACTGAGTTCTGGGTGTGCAGTGATGAGCCAAGTAGACATGGTTCTCTTATAGTGAGGCAGTTTCCATTACCCCAGAAAGTTCCGTCTTGGCCTCCCTTTGCAGTCATTCCCTCTGCCTGAGGTAACTACTGATCTGATTTCTGTTACTATATATTTATTTTTCCTGTTCTAGAACCTCATATAAATGGAATTGTTTGGTTTCTATGGTTTTGTGTCTGGCTTCTTTCGCTCGGTGTAACATCTTGGGGTCAGTTCTTACTGTTATTGGTAGTTTGTTCCTTTTTATTGCTGAGTGGTATTCCACTGTAGGATTATACAACAGTTTGTTATCCATTCACTTGGGATAGACATTTGGGTTGTTTCTATCTAGTCTTGGGCTGTTAGGAATAAAGCTGATGGGAACATTCTTGTAAAAGTCTTTGAATTTTTTTTTTCCTCTTTGGATCAATATCAGATGCATTTGCTGGGTCATAGGCTAAGTGTATGTTTAGCTTCGTAAGAAACTGTCAAACTGTTTTCTCTAGTAGCTGTACCATTTTATGCACCCACCAGCAGTGTGAGAGATTCCAGTTGCTTCATATCCTCACTGGGTTTTGTCAGTATTTAATGCTCTTCACGTAAGTTAATGGATGTGTAGTAGGAGCTCATTGTAGTTTACTTCGTGCTTTGTTCGAGTCTTTTTTGCCCATTAAAAAAACAGAGGACATTTGATTTATTGAGTTGAAAGAGTTCTTCATGTATTTTAGGTACAAGTTCTTTGTCAGCTGTAAGTATAATGGATATTTTCTTTAGGTCTGTGCTTTGCCTGTTAATTTTCTTTCTTTTTTTTTTTTTTTAAAGATTTTTATTTATTTATTTGAGAGAGCACAAGCAGGGGGAGTGGCAGGTAGAGGGAGAGAGAAGCCGACTCCCCACTGAGCAGGGAGCCCATGCGGGGCTCAATCCTAGGACCCTGGGATCATGACCTGAGCCGAAGGCAGTCGCTTAACTGACTGAGCCACCCAGGCTCCCCATCTGTTTTTTGTTTTTTTTTTTAAAGAAAATTTTATTCATTTGTCAGAGCGTGCAGGCAGGGGGAGCAGCAGGCAGAGGGAGAGCTCGATGCGGGACTCGATCCCAGGACCCTTAGATCATGACCTGAGCTTGAAGGCAAATGTTCAACCAACCGAGCCACCCAGGCATCCTTTTTTTTTTTAAGAGCCTCTTAATTTTTTAAGCATTTTTAGAAAGCTTTTAATTTTGATTAAGTCCATTTTTATAAATTTTTTTCCTTTTATGGTTAATGCTTTTTAATGACGTTACCTACTCCAAGGCCACACAAATTTTGGCACTGTTTTTTTCCCTAGAATTTTTATAGTTAATAACTTTCATGCTTAGGTGTGTGATCCACGTAGAATTAGTTTAGTTTCTCTGTGTATGGTGTGAAATAGGTGAACTAATTTCATCCCACAGAGAGATCCAGTTGTTCTGTACCATTTGTTGAAAAGATTTTTTTCCATTGACTCATGTTGGATCTTTATAATGAGAATCCATGAATATATAAAATACATGTCTATTTCTGATCTCTGTTTTATTCCATTGAATACTTTTTACTTCAGTATCACAAGTCACAACTACTGCGCTTTTATAGTGAGTCTTGAAATCAGGTAGTGAAAGTCCTTTAACATTATTCACCTTCAGAATGATTTTGCTCTTCTGCGTATTTTGTATTTCCATACACATTATAGAATAAGGTTTGTCAGTTTTTACCGAAAAGCCTACTGGGATTTTGATTGGGATTGGGTCAGGCTGAAGATCAGTTTGGGGAGAATAGGCAGCTTGGCAATACTGAGTGAGTCTTCCAGTTCACGAACATGGTATCTCTTTGCATTTATTTAGATCTTAAATTTGTCTGTTTTGTGAATTTCATGATAGAGGTCTTGCACATCTTTTGTTAAATTTATTCTTAAGTATTTTACATATATTTTTTAAAGATTTGAGAGAGACAGGGTGCATGCGGGGGGGGAGGGGCAGAGGGAGAGAAGCCTACTCCCTGATGAGCATGGAGCTCGATGAGGGGCTCCATCTCATGACGCTGAGATCACGACCTGAGCTGAAACCAAGAGTCAGAAGCTTAACCGACTGAGCCACCCAGGCACCCCTGGTATTTTATGTTTTTTGGTTCTGTCAGAAATCTCTGCTCTCTTAACTTGATTTTCCAGTTCATTGCTAGAAAAGATGTTATAGTATTACTAATATAATGTAAATATGTATGTACTGTGTATTTATAATAGGTTGCATATGTACTTTTTAGAGACTTCTTAGAACTTTCTTTGGTGGTGTTGGTTTTGTCTGTTTTACATCATCCTTTTAATTCTTTTTCTTGGTTTATTGCTAATATTTCTAGTATATTGAAAACAAGTGATGAGAGTAGACATCCATGCCTTGTTCCTGATCTTAGGGGCAAAGCATCCTTCTAACTTTCTCCTTCCTCTGATGCCATTCACTACTGCTTAAACTCTGGAGTGAATGTATGTACTGCTATGGTTTTGCTGCTTTGGTATCGGAGAATGAAATCACAGGGATAAACGTGGTGCATTTTTCTGTAGGGCCCCTCTTGGGAGATTTTCATTAAAACCTTTTATGTTAAAATGAACACTGATACACTGGGGATGAGCTACAAAATGCATAGTAAGTTTCAGATTATAATCAGAGACTCATTTGGGTAGAACAGTGTGAGTGGGTGTTCCCACAGTTGCCCTTCGTTCCAACCCCACAGCTCTTTGGTGCTGCTGTTCTCTGAAACGTTGTTAGCAAATTCTAGAGTATCATTTTACTCATCTATCTTTTCTCACTTTGAATAATTTCTTATTTACTGTACATCAAATAAAGTCACTTGAAAAGTGATTATGGACTTCAGATTGTACGTTCACAAAGTTTTGGATATGTGGATGGTCAGCCATATTTGGGAGGAGGAAAATGCCTCTTCTGTTAATCTGTGGCAAACAATATTTATAGCACACCTCATTGAAATCATGGATAAAGGAGCTTCTGAATAGTTTCTAGGGAGCAAGAGTAGAAATTAAAAGTACCTAGCTAACCATTTGTTGTGTATTTATTGTATTGTTCAATGTTCTTTTTTTTTTTTTTTTAAAGATTTTATTTATTTGACAGACACAGTGAGAGAGGGAACATAAGCAGGGGGAGTGGGAGAGAGAAGCAGGCTTCCCGCGGAGCAGGGAGCCCGATGGGGGGCTCGATCCCAGGACCCCGGGATCATGACCTGAGCCGAAGGCGGATGCTTAACAACAGCCACCCAGTCGCCCTGTTCCATGTTCTTTATGATAAAATAATTAAATAGTTGTTAGTACTAATTTAAGACTGGTAAAATGCCATTAATATACTTACAACGTGCTTATCTCTCTTTTTAAAAAAAAGATTTGCTTTCAGTCTTGATTTTAATTCTTTTTCTAGTGCGATTTTATTTTTTTTATTTATTCTTTTTAAAGATTTTATTTATTTGTCAGAGCGCACACAAGCGGCGGGGGGCGTCAGGCAGAGGGAGAAGCAGGCTCCCTGCTGATTGTGACCTGAGCCGAAGGCAGACACTTAACCGACTGAGCCACCCAGGCGTCCCTCTAATGCGATTTTAAAGTTTTAACCCTGTTTTCAGATTTTTAGATTGTCAGGAATACAAGCTTTGCAGAAGAGAGTAGTAGTAGTAGTTTTTCTGCTTCTGTGTTTCGTCCTTAGTCCAAGAACCTATAAAGGCTCCAGGGTCTCTTCCTGGTTTTTCAAGTCCTCTTCAGTATAGCTCCATCTAGTCAGCCTGTCCTTGAGTCTTAGCAGTGTTGAATCTTTCTGCTTATTAGTTCCTTCTATGTCCTTGTCATTTTTGTCTCTTTTACTTAACAGGCTGTCATATTTCAAGGTTAGATCCTAATACCTAAGGTCTCTTCCACATGCTGAAGCCCACACCGAACTCGTACTTGACTTAACCTAATCAGTATCACTTTAGTAGGTTTTCAGTACATTTTAATATTACATACTCAGCTAGCTCATGGGCTTACTAGCTAGAGGGCTTACTAAAAACCAAAATGAAACAATGTTCAGATCTGTGGTTGGCTGCTTAAGATACTTACACATTTCTTAGAGTTGTTAAATCAGTGTTATAAATCACAATTAAGTTTCATTGTGATAATTATTTTGGTCTTAGTTAATTTATCCACTAAAACAGTTTATGGGGAACCCAGTATAATAGGCACTAGGGAGGTACAAAGAAGACTGATGAAAAAATAAGCCATTAAAACTGCCCATAAGATCACTGGTGACTTTAGAGTAGGCGGTGGGAATTCAATTAGTAGAAACAGTATTTTTTATCCTTCCAAAATTTAGCAATAAAAGGAAGAATGAAACATGGAGAAAGTTACAAAATACTGCAGATTAGGGAAAATGCTTTATAGAAAGGGGAATGAGCATGTTAGGAAATGGTAGATAAGCCATTGGAAAGGGAAAGAATGCATAAGTAAGAAATGGGATAGAAAAAGTAAAAAGTTAAGAATTGATGGTGTTGTGAGTACAGAGAAGAGAGATTTGAAGGCATTTACCCAAATTGAGTGGACTTCATTTTCTCCATGAAGCATGGGGTATACCCTGGAAATAGGGGCACACTAGCAGGATCAGAAACTTAAGGATAGAAAACTAAAGGAAAATGAACCAGACCTGGCTGAGACAAGAAAAAGCAGTCTAAGGGGACATACGCAAGATGGAAACCATTAATAAGTACTGGGTCAGCACAGCTGTGATTCTGCTACAGTAATACTTAGTATCTTAATTAAAAGGATTATTTAATAATCAAGGGACCTAGGTTAGAAGGGAAAGGAACATAGCCATACCCAGAATCTTTACATGTTGAGATGTTCTAAGCACAAAAATCATGGCCAGTTTTTGGTAGGATTGAAGAGTAGTTTTAGAATGAGTGAGAGAGAGGTATAGGCGTTAAAAGTTTTGATCAGAAAGTATGACGTGTTGAAGTGCTAGACAATAAAGACAGTGTCTTACAGCGTAAGACATCCTGGAAAGTGCTTACAGACACTTTGTTGAGTAAAGACTTTTCCTTCTCTGTGGAATTTGTAGTTTGTTAAGCACAGTATAAAGTTTTTGAAAAATGGTGTTCTGTGGGTAGTTTTAAGTTCTTAATTTGAGACTATGGTGAAGTGTATTAAAGATGTTATTTAAAATGAATGTCTAAAAGGAAAAGCTTTCTCGTGTTCTATCGACTGGATCTCTGGATTTTTAGAATGGTATATAGGTAGTGGGGTCTGTGGATTCCTACTGATTGTAGTTTGTACTGCAAAAGTTGGCTTTCTAATGATTTTTGTGGTAAAAAACACAACATAAAATTTACCATCTTAACCATTTTTAAGCAGTAGTGTTAAGTATGTTCATATTATTGTGAAACAGATCTCCAAAACTCTTCTTTTAGCAAAACTTAAACTCCCCTCTCCCTCTTCTCCTGGCCCCTGATAACTACCATTCTGCTTTTGGTCTCTGAGTCTGACTAGTGTAGGCACTTATATAAGTGGAATCATGGAGTAGGCATTTTTTTTTTTAAGATTTATTTATTTTAGAGTGGGAGCTTGAGTGTGGGGGAAGGGCAGGGGCAGAGGGAGAATCTCAAGTAGACCCACCTAGCGCAGAGCCCCATGTGGGGCTTGATCTCACGACCCTCATGACCTGAGGTGAAATCAAGAGTTGGACACTTAACCAACTGAGCCACCCAGGTGCCCCAGTATGCATCTTTTTGTGAGTGGTTTATTTCACTTAGCACATGTCAGTAAGGTTCATCCATGTTGTAGCATGTGACAGGATTTCCTTTTTAAAGGCTGAATAGTACTCCACGGTATGTGTGTATATATATATATATATATATATATATATATATATCACATTTTGTTTATCCATTCATCTCACGACGGACATGTGGGCTGTTTCCATCTTTGGGCTGTTGTGAGTAATGCTGCTGTGAACATGGGTGTATAAATAAGATCTTGCTTTCATTTCTTTTAGGTTTATACCCAGAAGTGGGGCTGCTGGATCAGATATTCCATTTTTAATTTTTTGAGGAACTGTTTTCCAGTTCCAGTGTTGCGCTGTTTTACTAATGATTTCTTTAATGTAAAAATGATTGGAAGTGTGAGATGTACTTTGTTTTTTTCCATGTTTTTAAGAAAGATTTCTTTTTTTTTTTAAGAAAGATTTCTTCTTAACAGTGACATTTCCTTTGGTTGTAGTTTTGATACTGAGAATAGTTACTTTGATTAAAAGTAGAGGGAGTGCAACAAGTTGTGAATATAAATAGGGACACCACTGTTGAAGTGAATACCTTTCTGTGTTTTTGTTTCTTTTGCAGATTGGGAAAATGAGGTACGTCAGTGTTCGGGACTTTAAAGGGAAAGTCCTAATTGATATTAGAGAATATTGGATGGATCCAGAAGGTGAAATGAAACCTGGAAGAAAAGGTGAGATTTAACTTCCTGAATTTGGTTCTAATAATTAGAACTAAACTAAAAAGTAACCTACCTTATTTAAAATTGAAATAATGTTGGCAGTGCATTTGGAACATTCTCATTCAGTTGATTCTTTGTTTTCTGTATGTAGTCTTTTAGACATGATATTTAACTTATTTTAATGACGTGTCTTGAATAGCTGTTGGAATAAAACCCAGAAGAAAAAAACCCTAATATCACTTCATTTGGCTGCTAATTTGCTTGGATGTGACTTTAGAAAAAAAAAATTGATGTGAATTCTTAAGTAGAGCAGGCACGATCTGGGAAGTTGTAAAATTGGGAATGAAAAATTCTGGCTTACAGTGTTTTCCTTTTGGTTCATCTAAAGGATATCCTTTGGGAGGGGGCATCCAAAGCGGGTCTTTGTCCTTCTTCTGTTGGTGCTTCACCGAGTCCCAAGCATATCAGCATCATAGAAACATGCTTTATTTATTCATCATATACCTAGAGAACATATGTACTAACATAAATTCATATATTGGGGTAGTTAGCTGCTTTAGGTTGATCCTTAGATAAAAAAGATATTTTTATCTTCTACTCCACCTGTTTGTCATCTTGAAGGTACCACTTGTTTGCTTCATGCAGTTCTTAGTTTATTAAACCTAACCTCTATGTTTTTGTACCCTTTAACCTTTTCTCTTTCAAGGCCACTTCTGGACTGCTCATTTAGTTGTTTCACTGTGGCCAATGCCAGATTTCTTCTCTTGTTCCTGCAAGTGTTTATTAAAACAATTTAATCAGCTTTAAAGCCCGTCCAAGGTGTTGACCCAGTATGTTCTTCTGCCTTCCTCTCAAGTTCATGGCCTCCCAGTAGTTTTTTGAGAAATACACTAATTCTTCCAATTCTAGTTTATTTTTGTTTTTATATGGGTCAAGTATTAGAACATTAGAAGTTCCAAGTGCAAAGTACTTTCTCTTCACATTTTTACTTTGTAAATAGAGAAGACATGTTATTAGCTAACATTTTAAGTGTTTACTTATGTGTCAGGTCATACACTCAGCTTTTTCCTCAGATTAGCTAATTTATTGATTCACAATACCACTTTGAGATATAAATACCATTTTACTGGTGAGGAGACTGAGGCTTAGAAATTTTTTTTTTTTAAGGTCATACAGTTAGTGATAGGGAGGCTGGGATTTGAACCTTGACAGCAGGACTCCAGAATGCATTTTTAACCACTATGTACATTCTGAGAAGTCCTGTATGGGTCACGTCCCAGGAATTTTTCCAAAGTGAAATGAATGCTTCTGGAAGAACTCATCACAGAGTTGTTTACCTTGAGTTCCTATAGAAATTTTGAGCAAATGTTGGAACCAACTGGATGTAGAAATGGAGCGTCACATAGGAAATCTGGACCTGGCCACTTAGCCTGCTAGTTTGCAAGGTTTTGTGAGATAAATCTTCACATCATCATTTGTTCTCACAGGCTATATTAAGTATTGTGCAGGATACAGTGTTGGAAGTAAAACTGGGTGTAAGACTGGTGTGCTCAGGTAATTGCGATGAATCTGTAGTAACGAGATTGGACTCTCAATATGTTACCATTGTGCTGGTCAAAGTGGCAGTTGTCGATTAAAGCAATTTTTTAGTTGGAAATATGAAAATCGTCAGAGTTTAAAGGGATTTCCAACTTTTAATTTTTTAAAACTTTGTTTTAGGTATTTCTTTAAATCCTGAGCAATGGAGCCAGCTGAAGGAACAGATTGCGGACATTGATGATGCAGTAAGAAAGCTGTAAAATCAGAGCCACATGAAACCTGTACTGTTCTAGTTGTTTTAATCTGTCTTTTTACATTGGCTTTTGTTTTCTAAACGTTAAGCTATTGTATATTTGGATTGCAGAACAATTTGTAAGATGAATACTTTTTTTTTTATGTGCATTATTAAAAGTGTTCTGAGTGAAGCTAATTGTCAACTTTATTAAGGAGGATTGCTTGGTGCCCGCCACCTAGTGTAAAATAAAATCAAGTAATACAATCTTAACTGTTGTGGCCTTTTTTGATCAAGAGTTGGTACTGTTTAAGGCCAAAAGTAACAGTTTGTAGACCTGCTGGTTTCACCTTGGCTTTTACATTCAAAGGATTTGTATTGCATTGAATTCATAAACTCTGACTTGTGAAATCCATAGTTGATCTGTTTTCTTCCAGCCCAATGTCTAGACTTGTTGGATTTTTCTACCGCAGTGATATTTCACTTTCCCCCTTTTTTTACTTCGTTTTCCTTTAATGTCATGTTCAGTTTTCATTTCACTTTTTTGTTCTCTTTCTTGAATATATTATACTAATTTGGAAAGTCAGTGAAACTGTCAAAATGTTAGTTATCTCAATAAGGTACTTGTAATTAAAATATTATATGAGAGCTACAATCACTAATTCTACTGTATTAAATATTAGGAGATATAGTTTGATAAAAAAAATGACTTGTATGAAAACTCTGAGCAAGTAAGTGTATGTTGTTACCTGTAGTGTTCTGTATAGTTACCTTATTGCTTAGTCTGCAGAGAATAATGACTTCGATGTCTGATTTACTTTCACTTATTAAACATGTTCACCATGGGATGATGTCTATAAAATCAGATACTGTTATATTAGATTAGGATTTAATAAAAATTGTGAAAGCTTACTGGCCTAACATTTCATTTTATAACATTGAGTATGGATTATATGTAGCCAGAGAAATCACTGAGCTTTTAGGTAATTTGGTCAGTTTTTGGAAGAAAGAGTATATAGAACATATATTTCTGTTTTTTGGCCTTCTCTTAGTAGACTTGGTTCTTTTTTTTTTGCAGTTAATCTACTGGACAATAGTATTCTAGACTTAATGTTACTAAGTTTTAGCAGGTACTCTGAAGTGATTTTCATTAAAGTGTAGTGATGAGGCAGACCCAGATTGAGGCACAGATTTCAGGGGCTTTGCAGCAATAAATAGGGCAGGGTGTGCCTTAGGAAGAGAATTTAAGGAACTATAACTGAAATGAAAGAATGTGGCAGTGAAGAGGAAGGAATTCTCTTCAAACTAAATGAGACATAGGATATTTTGAGCACATTGATAGGACATAATTCTAGATGGAATAGTAAAAAGAAAAGTTTAAAGACATGTAAAAAAATTCTTGTTAACAAATTATTTTTGGTAGCTAATCTTAAATGGTTTACTGCCATGTCGGAGAGTTGCACTATTATACAAGTTTGATTACTGCGTCTAAAACGTTTTATAGTGGAATTGTCAAGGACTTGGTTTCAAAATTAGCTGCCAGGACACACATAGTTACTAAATTTTTTTCTGGCAGCTATTCTGTTTTAAGTATGTTTTTACATTTTTTAGATGATTTTTCTAATGTTTTTAGCAGTAACCCTAATAGGTGCATAATTGGGGAAATAAATCTTCTCTTCTGGTATTTTAGCCTCCATCAGGTAATAGGTACTTCAAAATGGTATTTTAGACAAATCATACTTGACTGGTGGCTTTCCCCTTATTTGGGAACATATATGTGTTCTGTTAACTTAATTGGGTGGATTTATAAAGTATTCCTTATATATACAGAAAGGGTAGTTAGAACACAGAACTTTGATTTTGGTGTAGTTGAAGAGGGAATAATGGGAAAGTTTCCTAGGTATATATGAATTCGGGTTCGTGTGCATTTTGAAACAATCTGCTAATACAGAGATGGTGCTGAAATCTGTTACCTAGGCATTTTCTAGTTGTATAATATTCTGTCATTAAAAGCTTCATATAAGGAGGGTTTCCCTGGCAGAATTTGATAAGTTGACTGTTAAATTCATTTAAATCTGTTACTGGATATACAATATACAGAAATTACTGATCTTTTTTTGGGTATAGGAAATGATGAGAACTGGGTTTAAAAGAAGAGACCAGTTAATTGTACTGAGAAGAGAAGAAGATAGGGAACTGAGGTTTTCTGTTTAAAATTACCTTCTTGGTAAGATTTCTTCCATGGAGAAAGCTTGGCATTTTAAGGCAGCGGTTTCTTACTTGGTAATGCCAGAATGCATTTAATTAATGCCAGCCCTAAGTGAACTTGTAGCAGGGTTTTTCCAATGGGGTTTTCCTCTTTGTCTTTTCAAGTATGGGTAGTTTTGACCAATTTCCAGTGCCCTTGGCATTTTACTTAAAGAACAACCACTAAAAAAACAAAAAACAAAAAAAACCTCTTTATAATTTGATCATTCTCTTAGTGCTTTTACTTTATAAATGCTTTTGAAGAATACTCCTACCTCATTAGCTAGTCAAGTTGCTGTCATGATGGACCTATTTCTACATAGGAAAAAAGACTTAGAAAAAAAAAAGTACATACATCCTGGCTTGGCTATTGAGGGGAAAAGAGAAAGAATTGAGTGTTAAAGTGTTCCTGACAGGGAGGTCAGGAAGAGCACTGTAAAAGCTTGAAATTTTTAAAAAGTGCTGGCTAATATTCAGGTATCTCCTGAAATTCTTTGCTGTTTACTTTTTATGGAAATTAATCCAGTGAAGCACTTAGAAGTTTTTTTTTTTTTTTTTTTTTTTTTAAGTGGTATTTTCCAGGTTAATTCTAGGGGTAAACATTCACATAGTCACAAATATGTAATTCTGTAATTGTGGAATAACCTGTATGCTTTGTTTGGTACATCTTCCATGGAGATGTCAATGAATATAATACTCCATCTGTGAATATTTTAAATGTTGAAATAAAAATAAGAAATGTGCCCTACGTGTCATCCCAGTTTCACAGACCTAAAAATGAATGGCTTAGTTATCTGTTGAATGGGTTTTGTTAAACAGAATGCCTTCCTGTGTGAATGCTTTTGGAATGTGAATTCGCCTTAGCATGTTAAATCTTCTGAGGACTTCTGGAACCAGACTGGACTGGACTGAATGGGACTGGACTAGATGGGACAGGGTGGGGTGGGACAGGCAACTTCGGGGTGGTGTGGGCCTGTTTTTCCCACCTACCTGATCCAGATGGAAAAATGCAAATAGGTGTACAGAATCTCTTCTCTCTCTCTTTTTTTTTTTTTTTTAAAAGATTTTATTTTATTCATGAGAGAGAGAGGCAGAGGGAGAAGCAGGCTCCCAAGGAGCAGGGAGCCCGATGCGGGACTCCATCCCAGGACCCCGGGATCATGACCTGAGCCGAAGGCAGACGCTTAACCAACTGAGCCACCCAGGCGCCCTCTCTCTTTTTTTAACCTTATTAATGTTTTGCAGTCTGATTATTCCTTGGTATACTTAACCATATTGAATGCTGGACTCCGTTGAGTATTTTAAACTTACATTTTCATTTAGAAAGTGTCTATTTTTTCCTTCTTGCTTAGTACTTTTGCTTTGTTATATTTTGAGATCTCATTGTTCAGATTTCTATTCAGAGAAACTTAATATAGGGATAGAAAGACCCATAGAAGACTACCCATGACTGTTCTTGCCCCACCTAATCAACTAAGTTTGTTAGAGTGTACTGACTCAATACAGTCAAGAAGAAAAATATAGTACTTGGAATTTACATAGTCACTGACTTACAGTTTTGTATTTGTAGTATGGCTCAAAGGAGTTGTGGGATTAAAAAAATGGTTTTTTTTTAAAGCATGAAACATTAAGAATTATATGGATTTACCATGTAACAGTTCATCCAAGACTTAGTCCATCTTAGTACAAAATCTTGCTCACAGGACTTTTTCCCCAACTCACTTTACGTAAGTCCTTTACAGAGCTTAGACCATCCTGGACCTGCTTTTACAGCCATTTCAGCGCTAGATTAACAATGACGTGTTTCTGAGGAAAGGGAAACGCTCCTCCTTGAGGTTAAATAGTTTATCTTTCTTCTTGGGTGACTTATTTTAGCTTGGAAATGATTTTAGGGCATTTTATTACTCCATCTCTACCAGGAAAAACACTTGTTCTGAATCTCAGCAGTCGGATCCTATGTCCCAGGGTAACAGAAACACTGTGTGCAAAGTGCTTCTCCCACCAGCCACGCCAGACCTTCACTAAAATTGTGTATGTCGTGGCTCATGTGTCTTGGAAGGCGATGTGAAGTTCCAGTTTGGCCCTCTTCTAAGCAAGACCGAGTCTTCTAATAGCTCCTACTCTGACTTCCCCCACCCCCAAATACGTAGTTGTTTTAAGAATGGTACATACGTATATGTATTCTCTCCATGGGACCACTTATCCCTTCACCCAGAGGCCCTGTTCAGATTCTGCTGATTGTTCCAATAATGTCTGTATAGCAAAAGCTTCCAACCCATTTGAGAGTTGTGTCTCTTTAGTCTTTGTTCTGACATGCTTCTTTAGGTTTTTCTTGACTTTTGCAGCCTCGCCATTTCTGCAGATCTGGTCATTTGTAGGCTGCTGGTGGTGTTGACAAGGGAGGGGAAGGCAGAGCCAGGCTGAACGAGGAGTGGAGACTCAGCAGCTTGGCTGTGAGGGGGGAAGAGCAAGGAGGGGTGCTGCCGGAGGATATGGGATCAGGGCAAGGCTGTGTGTGATCGGAACAGTGCCCCATCTGGGTATGGCTGCGTTCAGTGCTTGTTGAAATTGACCTTCGCGTGTCATCTACAGTTTCAATTTCCCACTGTGGTTTTCCAGTGATTTCTTCCTAAGTGCCACCTGAACTGTGAGTACTTTCAATGATTTTAAAGAAAAAATTTATACCTACTCCGTTTTAATGTGACTATGACCATTTGGCTCTCACTTTTTGCTCCTCCAGTTCAGCTGCTCAAGTTCAGAGAGTGGACTCGCCCAGCATGCATGTGGGCACTGTGCGGTCATGCTTGGTGCATGAGCCGGTCATGAGCCTCTCTCGTTTATTGTTTTTAGACACGAGCTCTGTTGCCTTTATTCACTGTTGGCCTTGGAAGATGAAGAGGAGAAAGAATGTTTTCATCTATTCATGCTTGAGTGATACAAAGGATGAAAGGGTAGTGGGAAGGTATATAGTAGAAATCTGAAGATTTTGAGGAATTTGAGGGTTCCAGCCTCAATCCAGAGTC